TTTGTCACAAATAATAGTTTGCACTTCCAAAAATGCTTGAAAGGACCATAATCAGTATCATTCATTGGTTGGTTCATTCATACATTCATTCAGCAATTATTTGAATACCTGCTGTGTGCCAAGCACTGTGGATGATCCTGAAGAAAGAGGAGTTTGCAAGATGAATGATACTTGCTTTGCAGAATATGGAAGAGAAAGGCAATAGAATGCCAACTATATCAATATTAAGTATTTGTCGCCACCTAAGTGACTATTTTGGAGGGCTCCAAAATCACTGCAGATAGTGATTTCAGCCATGAAATTAAAAGACACTTACTCCTTGGAAGGAAAGTTATGACCAACCTCGACAGCATATTGAAAAGCAGAGACATTACTTTGTCAACAAAGGTCCATCTAGTCAAGGCTATGGTTTTTCCAGTAGTCATGTATGGATGTGAGAGTTGGACTATAAAGAAAGCTGAGCACAGAAGAATTGATGCTTTTGAACTGTGGTGTTGGAGAAGACTCTTGAGAGTCCCTTGGACTGCAAGGAGATCCAACCAGTCCATCCTAAAGGAGATCAGTCCTGGGTGTTCACTGGAAGGACTGATGTTGAAGCTGAAACTCCAATACTTTGGCCACCTGATGCAAAGAGCTGACTCATTGGAAAAGACCCTGATGCTGGGAAAGATTGAGGGCAGGAGGAGAAGGGGATGACAGAGGATGAGATGGTTGGATGGCATCACCGACTCAATGGACATGGGTTTGGGTAGACTCTGGCAGTTGGTGATGGACAGGGAGGCCTGGCATGCTGCGGTTCATGGGGTCACAAAGAGTCGGACACAACTGAGTGAATGAACTGACTGACTGAAGTGCCACAAGAAAGATCTTATTATCGTGGCATATTCTTGAAAGCCCACAAAAGCATTTAAAAATATTTTGACAGTTTCTTGAGGGTTTGCTATCACTGTCCACCACCAGAACAGCCCAAAATTAAAATATAGGAGACTAAGGCATTTAATAAACAGCTTCACCTCTTTTCCATTTGATTCCCTTCCTAGACATACTGATTTATTTCCACCATATCCAAACCCTCCTAAGTCATGATACCCCTGGCTGCCCTGAGAAGAGGTGACCAAGTTGAGCCCTGCTGTGGCTTCTGGCTCATGGGTCTGCCCACAGCTCCCTTCTGTCCACCTCTCCTTATGCCAGAGCAACAACTCAACTGCAAGCAATGCAGGTGAGAGACCCATGACTGACTGCCAGCTCCCCTCCTGGCCTTCTGGGGCAAAAGTTTCTACTACATCCAGAAGAGAAAGAAACCCAGTTGAGGAACATCCCAAGGTTCACAAATTACCTGTTTCCCAAATGAGAAGGGAAAGTATGGCATTTCATAATATGAAGAGCCTATGTGTACTTGATGTCTTCCATAGGTTTGTAATATCACCTTGATTTTTACATGGACTTAAAGCTCAGCAATTATCCATATACACATTTGTACTGCCCTGCTGCTCCATCATGACACCATGATCAGTTCCTATGAAAAGTGACCAGTTTTTGTCTTCTCCTTGACTTCCAGTATGAGAAGTCATTAAATTGAGTTAGAAACACTAAATCATTGTAATTATAGGAGAAAAAACTTGGTTCAGAACATTCTTCTTCCTTATTTACTTGAAGAGGTCAAAATTACATACACCAGATGGTTTAGTTCCCTTAAACAAAATTCTAATGTGTCAAAATGACTCTTTCAATGTATACTTGAGAACCAAAATCTAATGTTGAGGATTTAGGGTTTATAAAGCTGTAGACCTAATGATAAAGAGTCCCAGTAGCCCAGAATTATTAAACCCAAGAAAAAGGAACATGGTGGTTTATCTCTGTAAGCAACAATTAGGTCATAAAAATCAGACTTTCAGTCAGCCTCTTCTTTTTATTTAAAATATTTTTTTCTACTTTAAAGTGTAAATGTAAAATTAAGAAGATATTGAGAAGCATTACAAGGATACCACTAAAGATGAAGGTCCATATCTTCACAAAGCTAATAGGATTGCTTGATACCATGAAGAGAATGGCAGCTTTAGAGCCAACCAGACCTGCATTCAAATCCCTGCTCTTCTGTTTCCTTGCTGTGTAGCCCTCAACTACTCACTTCACCTCTAGGAGCCTTGTTTGTTTCATTGTAATGTAAATGTGGAAGGGAAGACAGAGTAGTTTTAAGATTCTATTTAAGGTAAATAAAATGTCCCTTCTTTGCCTTTAGGCTAAGATCAAGTGTGTGGGGTGGGGGTGGGGGGACTTCCTTGCTGGCTCAGTGGTAAAGAATCTTCTGCCCTTACAGAAGACTCATGTTTGATCCCTGCCAATTCAAGAGATGCAGATTTGACCCCTGAGTAAGGAAGATCCCCTGGAGTAGGAGGAAATGGCAATCCACTCCAATATTCTCGCCTGGAAAGTTTCACGGGCAGAGGAGTCCATGGGGTCACAGAATCAGATGCAAATGAGCGATTGAGCATGCACACACAAGATGTTTCCTGCACACAGTTAAGAATGTAGCACTGGTTCTTGTGGTAGTTGTAGCTGTTATTATTAAAAACCAAATGGCAGCTATTGAGAGGAGAGAAGCAGGAATGCTTTCAGGGTGAAAGGAACCAAGCAAGATTATGAGGTCAGAGATTTGGATGCACCATGATGGATTTCATCTATTTAAAATAAGACCTCCATGTTCTTTCCAGTGTCTTTTCATATCTAGGCAGAGAGTCTCCACATTTATGGTCATTGTCCATCATTTTCTTTGAGCTCACTGAGAACAATATTCTTTCTAAGCTGCTGGCATTTTTTTCCCCTTCACCGTGGTATTTACTAACCCTCTCTCTCAACACTAAAACTCCTTGTCATTCATGAGGTGGACATGAGGTGCTTTTATTGGTAATTCCCAGGGAGCTAAAAACCGACCTGATCCACCTTTTTTTTGCTTCTTTAAATAGGCCAAAAGATAAGCCTGGACACTGTAGATGTCATAGAACAAGTTTTCTCCAAATATTTGGGTGTTATGTTTCTCCTCATTTTGATCCCCTCCCCCCAACACACCCAGGGTTCCCAGGTGGCTCTGTGGTAAAGAATCCACCTTCCAATGCAGGAGACATCGGAAATGTTGGTTTGATCCTTGGGTCAAGAAGATCCCCTGGAGAAGGAAATGGCAACCCACTCCAGTATTCTTGCCTGGAAAATCACATGGACAGAAGAGCCTGACAGGCTACAATCCATGGGGTCACAAAGAGTCGGACACGACTGAGCGACTGGAACACACACACACACTCCTAGACTTAGTTTAATTTCTAGCATCCTTAAAAGGACCTTAGCAACATAATCTCTCTCCACATCTAAACAAACTTTCTGGCCTTTTCATTTTTTTATGGAGCTTGTGTTCAAATGAAGTCCTCTTCTAATAGCCTTTCCAGCATGATAATCACACATCCCAAGAGAGCTATCAGTTTTTGTGACCTGGGGGAAGAAAAAAACTTTCCAAAGACTGTGATTAATACTCCGTCCCTAAACAAGCAATTAGATATCCTGTATCTGACACATAAGACTGAAAAATACTAATCTGTAGGCCATGCTCCCCTTCTGTGAAAGACATGGTATTGCTTCAGCTGTTTTTGCTTTAAAGTAGGGAATCATATCACTGTTTATTCTAATTAGGAAAGACTGGGATGCTCCATGGGTCAGAACCCTAGCATAATGTGAGATATTCTATAGCTTTCCTCTCATCTTTGCCCTTTGCAATGCTTCCAGATTTTCTGAGGAACATCTCATATTCTCATCCCAGTTCCAAAAGCCGATATAGGGGTTAGCACCTGTTCCTTGTTTCTTTGTACCAAGGTATTTAATCGTTTCTAAACTCAGTAGGAAAAAAAAAATAAAATAAGGCTATCTAAAAAAAAAAAAAGCTGAAGCCCAAATCCATCAATTTCTCCTAGGTAAAGGGCACTTAGAACAATGCTAAGCTTGAGAACATGAGCGAAGACTTACGGCACCTGAATCTATGGACTCTTGCCTCTCTGACTGTCACAATGGAGTTGGAGTAATAGGTGATCCTCCAGGCTGTCCATGGAACTTCCTTTAGTATAAGAAATAGCCCAAGCCTTGCCTTTGCCCAACTGTCCAAATATTGCATGTCATTTGTCTTTGTAAAAGCAATGCGTTGTTCCTGTTGGATACTTTTCCTGTTCTTTCAGTTTGATTTCGTTTCCTCAGCCTTGTACTTTTAAACTATTAAAGAATTAGTAATAGTTTGAAAGAATTGCCTCACATTCCCCTCTTTTAAAAAAATGAAAGAGCTATAATTTTCATAAACATATGTTTTATTTGAAATAAATGCTTTTGTAATGTAAGTTGGTGCTTTTCAAAATTTGACTTCTGGACTCTCTACATTTGAATTGCCTGCATTTCTGGGCTTGAACTCGGGAATTTGCATTTCGGTGAGCTTCCCATTGGTAATTTTGCACATTAAGATCTATCAGTCACTCAATTGCCAGGAAACTCCCAGTATGTCTTAGAGCGAGGAGCTCCTTAATTCTTTAGCTCTTTATTTCTCTTGACCAGTGACGTCACCTTTAGTTTTTTTGAAGCAGATTGCATTTATAATTTTCTTAGAACAAATTATCTATTTCTGAAGCTACACTGAAAAATTCATATAATTTTACCTGTTGTACCAGAGAGGGTGAAAATAAAAGAGGTTGAGGGAGTCAGTGGCTTGGGATACAGTCTTGCTAGAATCACACATTGAGACCTTGTCCTGTGCCCGCAGAACTGAAGTGATGATGGTGATGGTTTCTGCAAGGACCATTTGCTGGTTAGATGGTAAGATGGGTGATGCTGCTATTGCCCCTTCTCTCCCAGTGCGGTCCTTGACACAACCTGAGACCATCATCACTACCACACATCCTTGTCCAAGCTACAAGGAGCCCAGAGGGTGCCCCTCCATCACACTAGTTCCTCTGCTTTGCCGTTGTCTCCTGCAGATCCGCAGCTCGGGGCCCGAGAACAGTACAGTCCAGTTCATCTTCTATCAGCCTATCATCCACCGATGGAGGGAGACGGACTTCTTTCCTTGCTCAGCAACCTGTGGAGGAGGTAATGCTATTCACTTAGTCTAAAAGCTCTTGGCATCCCTGAAGGAAGACTAGGCTGCTTTAAGAATAGAGTTGCTTTAGCATATGCAAGTACTGTGTGGACCAGATTCTTTCTTCTCAATGGGGCCAAATCCTGAAGCCTTCCCATGAGATGAGGTAGATACCTCAGTCTAGATGCCCCATGCACATTTTCTGGCTGTAGAGTCCCATGAGAGAAAATAGTCTTTCCTTCTTTCCTTGATTCATTAAAGCTCAGAACAAGCAATGTCATAGCCTGGCAACAACTTAGTCTGGAGGCAAGTGTGTTCATCTGAGAACAAACTAGTCCTCTGGCTGAAAGAACTTATCTATTCAGGAAACAGGTGAAGACTGTCATCTTCTGCATAACATGATGTATCCAAGAAGATTCAGAGATTAATTTAAAGAAAATAGTTTATTACTAGAAAAAAAAATCACTGCACTATAGACTTAGGCTCAGTTATTTTTCAGCTCTACCCCATCATCCATGCAATAAAAGGAATGCCACTTGCCTTATTTATACTTTAAAACACATCTCTCTTGAAAAGTCACCAGATGAATTCCCATCTCACTCCATCATGTCTGTAACATGAACAGTATTTTGTGTTACCAGAAAAGGTCCCCTCCCCACCTCTTTTCTTTAATGATTACTTAAATGGCTACATAATCATTTATTTTGATTATTTTGTAATAATTTATTTAACTATATACTTACAGAAGATCATTCATTTCATTTAAACTTTTCTTTTATAATGTAATGAATAGCTTAATACCTAAGTATTTTTCTCCTTTCAAATTATTTCTTGGGCTAAACTCATAAGAGTTTCAGAATTTTTGTGGCTATTGGCATATGTTACCAGAATTCTTTCCAGAAGGGTAATCAGCAGTCTATGAATATTTTAGTTTCCTTGCCAAGTGAGCCAGTATTTGTGGAGTACCTTTTTGAAAATTTTGGTAATTTAATGGTTATAAAATTGCATGTCTATTCCTTTAAAAATGAGCACATAAATTCTAGCTCCATCTTCATGAAAACCTGTTAATTGGCACTGTTTAAGTAACTAATCCACACATGTATAACTGTATTATTTTGACAAGAAAAAAGGATAGAACCTCAAAATGGAGACAAATGACTATCCATTAATTCTCATTATACTATAAGAACATATAAGTCATCTTCAGCTATGTTATCTATGTCTACATAATGTGAACAAACAGTTGAAAGTGAGGTTTTATCGAGCAGTGTTAGATTTTACCTTAGAAATAAGTGCTTTCCCTTGGTTGTTACAGTATTATTAATTCAACATTTTAAACATTTCAATAAAATAATGTTTCCAGTCGCTCTGTCTATGCTACATAGAAAATTAGTTTGTTTAAGAAGAAAGTGCCAATTACTTTGATGTTTATGGGAATATGCTGTTTTGATACACCTGTTAATGACTAACACAGGAAGCAGTTTCAAAAAAAGAAATCTAAGAAATTCTTTTTCTTTTNGGGAGGCCTGGTGTGCTGTGATTCATGGCATCGCAGAGAGTCAGACACGACTGAGTGCCTGAACTGAACTGAACTGATAATGCCTTACTATATAATAAGGCAATTAATGTTAGACTTATATATAAGTCAAACACTTTGGGCTTTATTTTCCTCACATCTAAGTGAAAAAGTAGAACCAGCAGCAGTTCACAGATGTGCTGAGCTCTCAAATCATTTCTTCAAAGGAAATCGTATTAGGAAGCCAGGTAAAGGAGCATTGCTCAGAAATCTGAAGGATGTAGAAACCAGAGAGCTCACACAGTAAAGAATCTGCCTGCAGAGCAGGAGACCCACGTTCGATCCCTGGGTCGTAAAGATCCCCTGGAGGAGATGATGGTAACCCACTCAAGTATTCTTGCCTGGAGAATTCCATGGACAGAGGAGCCTGGTTGGCTAGAGAATCGGACACAACTGAGCAACTAACACTTCCCTCACACTTCATGGACCATAGTTTGAAAATCTCTGAGGAAATGATCTCTGAATTCCTTTATATGTTTCCAGTTCCAGATTCAACTAGTTGAATATTTTGCTAAGTCTTAAGAATTGCTACATCAAATACCTTGTGAAACTTTAGAAAACACAATTACCTGACCATTTTGGTCTTTCATTTCATTTTTGTTCAAAGTTTTCATTTCACACGCTCTAGAAGAGCTTCCCAGCTGCATTTTTAAGCTGACAAATTATGGTTTTTAAAAATCATAATCTCACATTCAGAGTTTACTTACTGCTTGTGCCCACATTTTACTACATGATAAAATTCTATCCTTAAGTAGAAATGGTTTTCTGGAAACCTTATAAAATAATTAGCTTGTCATCAGATTATCTGCTTGAAGTATAATGTAATTGAAAAACAGAAATATATTTACTTTTATAAAATATCATTTTGCTTTTTGATTTTCTTATGAGACAAAAAATTAAGTGGAACATGTGTTTTTAGCCATTACTTTCCATACTTTTCATCCTTACAGTAAAGTTGTTAAAAGCTCTTTATTTAGGTCTTTAATGAACAATTAATTTTTGTGGGTGGTCTGAGAACACAGCCTCAAGTCAGGAAATCTGGTTTATAAGTCTCCCTCTGATTTCCTGAAATCTTTTGCAAGACTTTAAACCACTCTAAATCTGACTTTCTAACACATATTTAACAACAACAGTATTCAACCGCTGTCCAGGGGGAATATATTTTGGAGTTGATGAGGGTTAGACTGATACAAAAGCCCTAACTTTTAAAAATACTCTATGTACATTTACTTTTCACCCCAAGAATCTAAGTCTTCATCACCATACCACCAGAAATTCATAGGACAAAAAAGAGGCAGGTAGGAAAACTAATACATATTATGAGTAGAATTCAGTATTATTCAGCAGCATGATTTCTTTCTTTTTTTTTTTAAACAGAGGATTTCTCTAAACAGTGGAAATTTGCACATTTAATCAAGAAATATTGGCTACACGGTTAGAAATGGCAAAGGATTTTGAAATAAAAATTGAACAGTAGGAAATTTTTGTTTTTGTTTTGGTTGTTTTGGAAAACTTGAGATTTCATGATGACTACTGTTTAGGCCTTAGTCATCAGTTTACATCCATTCAATCCATTCAGGTTGAATTTAGGCAGTGGAAAACACGTGTTTCCAGGTAGGTAGCTGATTCTATATTATGGGTCACCACTGACCAAGAGGAACAGTGTTGGGATTTTTTTTTTTTTTTAATTTAGGAGTTTATTCACCCTGATGCCCCAAGTACAAGTGAGGCAGTTTTGCACCCTCATATGAGATGGTTTGTAAATAAATATCTTTTGGATACAGATTTCTATGTTAGACTTTTAGATTATATAAAGCAGATTAATAAAAATAGTTCTTACGGTAGTCTTACAGCTTTACCCATACGCAGTTCAAACCCTATGGTATCATTTAATTATTAAAAGTTGAGTGGAAAAACATAGCATTTGTAAAAATTAAAGAGCCTTCCATTTATCTCTCATTGGCCCTGGAAATGACTTGGAGCACTGGGAAAGAATTTTCATTAATATGAGATGAACAAAATAGCCTAAGGGAATACATTACATTGATGTATACATTGAAACTTGCCCAAATGGCTTGATACCACAGGTTACCAGCTGACATCGGCTGAGTGTTACGATCTTCGGAGCAACCGTGTGGTTGCTGACCAGTACTGTCACTATTACCCCGAGAACATCAAACCCAAGCCTAAGCTTCAGGAGTGCAACTTGGATCCTTGTCCAGCCAGGTCAGTCACATTTACCAGTTTGTTTACTGTAAACATAAATCAAGTGCAAATAAGCTTCTTGAATTAAAAAGCGTTTAGTTAAAAATAAGTAAGTGCTGCTGCCCAGTGTCCATTCTTAGTCATGGGTTATTAGGACCCATGCCTCTTACTCTTGCTGCCGTAGAATGCCATCTCAGGGTCCATGGATTTTCCATTGGTAGAGCTGCAGGTAAAGCACTCTGCAGAGACATTTTCTCTTCTGATTTCATTTCATTCTGGTTACTTGTTTCTACTCTTAACAAATGTGATGGTACAGTGTTCTCAGGATTCTTTGAGATGATCAGAGCAGACCATATTTCAGGGTCACAGTTGACCAATTTTAGCCTGTGGTGGGCCACACCAATGAACCAGAATAAAAATCAGCCTTAGAACAGTTTTTCCACATTTAAATAAACTCAGCCTTTGTTAAACAGAAAGCAGGGCTTATTTCTAATAGATTTTTTTAAAGGTCTTTTTAATTAGAAGTCCTAAAGAAACACTTGACACTTTCCACATATGTTTACTTGGGGGAAACCATAGTTGGCCCTCAGTTATTTGCAGGATCAAGATTCAGACTGATGAATGAAATATTCCAAATGATAAGTAGTCATAGAAGTATGAGTCAGGAATATTTTCATGGTGAATATTTGTCTTTTTAATTTCAACACTTCCTGGTAATTCTCTTCGTTAATATGGCTTACTCATCCTCAACAAGTGGGAAAGGATGTATGAAAACTCTTCTCCTACAAAACTCATCATGTAGACTGAAAGAGAATCCTTTCTAAGAGCCTTAGATTTCTGAGGAACACCTCAGTTTGTTTGTTTTTTTAAATCATAGTTTACTAATTATATATTCATAAAACTTTGAATAGGTGAACTACTACATGAGCCAAGTGGATGAAAATTACTCTATCTTTGAATTGTAGGCAATTTAAGTTTTTTTTTTCTGCTCTTAATTTTCTAAAGTATATTTTCTTGTATTATTTCTGCCTCACATTCAGAAATTCTAAATTCTACATGTGATGTGAAATTTCTAATGTTAATTTACTCATAGAAATCATATTATCCAGCTGGTAAAAGGGAGAAGGCAATGGCAACCCACTCCGGTACTCCTGCCTGGAAAATTCCATGGACGGTGGGCTGCAGTCCATGGGGTCGCTATGACTCAGACACGACTGAGCGACTTCACTTTCACTTTTCACTTTCATGCATTGGGGAAGGAAATGGCAACCCACTCCAGTGTTCTTGCCTGGAATCCCAGGGACAGGGGAGCCTGGCGGGCTGCCGTCTATGGGATCGCACAGAGTCGGACATGACTGAAGCAACTTAGCAGCAGCAGCAGCAGCAGCTGGTAAAAGTGAACTCAAAATAACAGGTTTTCATTAAAGAAATAGAAGAATAGATATTTTATAAATATATAATTCAGGTGAAGTTTAATTTTGCTTCATATTCCACCAGAAAATTACATTTTAAAGATTGGATATGGTATAAAAACTAAATGAGGTGTGAAAATTTTGTTTGGACCTCTTTATTTTGGAAATATTAAGGATATGAGGTATTTTAGCCAAGATAATTCTAGCTCATGCAATTCAACCCTAGTTTAAAGTTTTCTACTTATTATATGCCTCTTTATCCATATCTATACCAGGAGGACCAGTGAGTGAAAAGCATAATTATCTCAATTCAAACAGGTTGACTTAGCCAAAGAGAGATTTTGAAGCTCTTATACATAGTTCCAAGAAAATTTATGTATGTATTTCTAGGAGAAATGAAGGATTCACTTCCCATAATTGCATGTAAAGCTTTTCCCCTCTACTAAAAAAAAAACTTCAGTGAAGAGATGGTCATGAAAAACAGCTGTGAAATAAAAGCATTTTTTAACAATTTTAAGAAACATGTTTATAGTCAGAAAAAAATCTACTCATTTTTTTCTGGCTTCTGATTTTTACCCATCTTTTCTGTTGGAGTAATATTTTTGGCCTATTTCTTATTATTCAAGAGCATAAGGCTATTCTACATTGAAGGAATTTTGTAAAATTGATGTTTTTTCTATGTCTGTGTTATTTTAAAACATCTAATACAGCACATGTATAAATGTTAGGACAGGTGGCTATTAAAAAGAGAGAAAAAGAAGTGGGAAAAGGAGAAAGGAAAAATAAGAAGTGAATGTCAGGATGCTGCTTTTTTATTACAGAGGTAATTAAACAAAGCTGTAAAAATTAAGACTGAGCAGAAAGAGAAGTTTAAGAGAAAACTGCTTTAGGAAATGTAGATACTCTAGTCTGAGGGTAAGATAGTGCACAATTGCTATGAAATTCACTGAACTCATTTAAACACCTGGGATCAAAGCAACCTTTCTGAATTTCGAGAAAAAATAAGAAGTGATAGTCTGAGGAAAGGAGTTAAAGAAAGTCAATAAGTCTGCCTTCCCATCAGACATAGCAGAATCAAACACTCAAAGAATTGTTTTCTAACTATAGATATAACTGTCTAATAGTGACATTAAGGGCTTCCCTGGTGTCTCAGACGATAAAGAATCTGCCTGCAATGTGGGAGACCCAGGTTCAATCCCTAGTTTGGGAAGATCCCCTGATGAAGGGAATGGCTACCTACTCCAGGTATTCTTGCCTGGAGAATCCCATGGATTCTCCCATGGACAGAGCAACCTGGCAGGTTATAGTCCCTGGGGTCACAAAGAGTCAGACAGGACTGAGCAACTAACACTTTCGCTTTTCTAGTGACGTTAAACCAACACCTTTATTGGTGACAATAAACTAACACCTTTGTGTCCAAACTTAGAAGCCCCTAAAAGGGAAAACACAAGAGGTATTTAGAACAGATAAAGTCACATATTTTGGAATCAAAAGAAATTTATTAGTCATTGAGATAGTTCTTTACTTTTCCTGTATTAGACTAGGATTGTTAACCTATTATTTGAAAGCAAATTCACATTTAGGTAGCCACATTTATTCCCTGTCAAGATTGGGAAGTACCATGGACAGCAAAAAGACCCTGCTAGACCTTATTTTTCTCACCCACTAGTGGGGGTGAGAAAGTTATTTGTTGCATTAAATTAGTGATTTTCCAACTGTGCCTATAAGCTGTTGTTCCATGGAGTTGCTTCATTAAATTTCATTTTATGTATTTTGAACTATCTTTAAACAATAACTCACAAGAACTATACTCAAACATAAACTAATTTTAACTTGTTCAGGCTAAGCTAAATTGTAAAAATTGTTGCAGCAATAGTAAAAATATTTCACTACCAAAGGAAATACTTTTTGCCCTCATTATTAAGTTCTTCTATTAGGATCTGTTTAATTGAAAAAATAAATATCCTAAGATTAAGGTGAGCTATAAGAATTGTTAGCATTAGCAACCGCTTCTCTGGAATAAGAATTTTCTCATTACTACACATATAAAACCAAAATAACTCAGAAATAAACAGGATGTGATAACCATTACTATAACCCTTAACGCCCAATTTTTCTGTTTATTAGAATAGCCTCACTGTTCTCATTAATTTGCTTTATAATTAGTAAATGTTATATATTTGAACTAATGAATGACATCACTTACTCATTTCATTCACCAACAACATCCATAGGTCTCCATGGTTGTAGATGGATTCATCTAGTCATTCTTGGGGCTAAAGAGATGGTTGACATATAGTCTATTCTTTCCAGAGTAATTTTTATGTTTTCATGGCTTTTTTCTGATTCTTCATGCACTAACTCAGAAATTTTGATAAGTTAAAAGACTATAATGAAAACAATAAAATTCACTAATAATTTCCAGTTGCCACAGATAATCACTATTAACGCTTTTGCTAGATTTCTTTCCAGTTTTATCTGTAGCTCGTAAGATAGGTAAGGTCATTCTTATATGATAGATACTTAGAATTCAAAGGCTTAACATTCTTGGTTTCCATTATTCAAAAGCAAACCTGAATGTTTGTGACACGTAGTAACTTGACATTTGCTGAGACAGGAATTTGAATTCCTCTCACTGTACAACCAACAATTGAGCTTACCTGGTGGCCAGCTGCTCCATCCCAGAAAAGCTGTATTGCTCTCTGCTAGTGTCACTTATACACTTTAATGACGTGATAAAAACCTTTGTTTCCAGGCCAAAGACAGTCTCAAAAAGGAAGCCAGAGCAATGCTTATAATGAGAAGGAAGAGAAAGTGAAGTTAAAAATTTAATGACATTTAGCTAAAATGAAGACTGTTTCTCACTGGTGCCTCAGAGCTATGGCATCTCATCATATACTAATCTCATCAAATACTATATACACATATGCTATATGTTTTGGTAATGGTCCCTACATGGGCACTCCCAGAAGTCCAGAGGCATGTCACTTCTGGATATCAGAGATCTGGGCAGGTTTAACTTGCAGGAGTCTGGTGGGCTACAGCCCATGGGTCTCAAAGAATCAGACACGACTGAGCACGCTGCTTCATTGATTGAACACTATAGTTCCTAAGGTGCTTAGGAACTGTAATCTTATCAAATATAAAATCCTTGTGCTTGTCATGCTATAATCATAGCTTCTATTTTACACAAGGGAAAATTGTTGTTGTTGTTGTTGTTGTTTTAACACAGTGCTTGATGCTTTATGCAATAGTTTGTGTGACTGTTGCTTCTTGGTCAAAGGGTACAGTCGATCATGTGGCCAGAAAGTTTCCAAGTGTATGCCTGTGGTTCAGCAAAAACTAAAAAGGCATAGTTTTAGTTCCACTAATAAGCACCTTATGTTTTCTGAGTGGCTTTCAGTGTAAAAAAGAAAATGCTACATTTGGCCATATGTAGCTCAGTCTAGGAGACTGGTGAGACTGTTAAGGCTGTCTGGGGGAAATTATGCAAGACATTGTTTGTGAGAAGATCAGAGAACCACCTTTTCTTTTTTTTTTTTTTTTTTTTTTTGGCACAGACTTCTGCTTTTCTCTCCAAGGCAGTAATGAAGGGGGCTTAAATTGGCA